TCTGACAGTGGAGCGTCATGTAAAACATTGTAAAACTTATCTCGCGACGGGAGCTGAGGTTCGTCTAACACGTCCATGGAAGAAATATAATCATAACATAGGCTTTGTTTACCTTTAATTAACAGAGCTTTAGCCTCATCAGATACGCCATTTAGTATGTGTTCAGTATACTTGGTGGGTTTCTTACTGGCAACGTGCTCGTTTGCTAAGGTTCCTAATGACCCATTAAGAAGAGCTAGGCTATCTAGGAATTTAAGTTCACCTATGATGACTTGCATAAATTTCAATCTTTCCTTGGTTAGAATTTCTACATCGCGGCGAGGATTTTTGTGCAGTTCTTTAAGTATAATTCCAAGATCATAGGCAGCATTATGGGAAAACGTGGTCAAGTATCTACGAGCATTTTTACATTGTAAATTGCAACGAGCACAATAAGCACCTAAGTAATTATTTTCCTGAATAGCATGATTATGATGTCTATGTTTATCTTTCTTATTCTTGAAAGTTTGATGACACAATAGACACGTATTTTGTCTTTGAAACATTCTTTCCTGTTCTCTAGACAAGTTCTTAGGGAAGTTGGGGAGCTGAGCATGAATAGCTTTCCATGAGGCTTCTAGCTTTGTAATAAAATGATTAACCGCGTCTGGACCTACGTATGAATACGTTTCTACGACATTGAATTCCCTGTCTAAAATCATGTAGTCATAAGCAATTGCTTTATGCTTACATTCCACCATGCCTCTAGGGTTTTTAAGGTCTAAACAACATTCAAAATCGTAATAGGCGGTGTGAGTCAGGCTATAGGTCCTACCGTAATTTTTAAACATTATTTTCTCATTAGGATTATAGAATGAAAATACTTGGGATACAGTGCATGACTCTTTGTGAGCCTGAATTTCATCTAAGGGAGCATGCAAAAGGCAAATTTTGCAGAATTTATGAGTGTTAAGAATTTTATACTGATTATGGTTAATATTCTTTACATATTTATCAAAATCCTTGATCAGACAAAGATGCTTGCCTTCTAATAACAACAAAGGGACTTTATCGGCATACTTTTCCTAGCTAAACTAATATAGTATCTGTTACTTTCATGAGTTACTGTATAAATATAAATAGAAATTTTGTTAAGCTTCTCTATTTTCTTAAGATTATCAAATGATACAGGGAATCTGATTTCATCTGCCCATACTACGAATCTTCTACACCACCTAATGCTTTGGTGATGATGATTAGCGTTTTTAAATGTCCCTCCACGAGCTACGCTTTTATACACTGTTAAACATTGCAATAAACACTCATCTCCTTTACTATGGGGGTTAAATACAAAATATCTACCCCTTAATTTCGCAGGATATGGTACATAAGATCCAAGGTGCATAGGGTGGCAAATATATGAAAAATTAATGGCAAAGCCTGACATGGAATGAATTCCTACACTTGAGGATTGGACATTTTTTAGGCATTCGTCAATTTTAGCAGACATTTCATCAACCCATGAATTTACTAGAACTTCCACCTCTTCCTGTGTAACAGTCTGAGTTTCACCCCTAATTGAAAATACTTCGTCTAATATTTCATATTGATCGTCGGCATGATTAAGTTTTTGCAAAATTAGGCTTACGTCAGGGTAAATATGAAATGAGGGAGGGAATTCTTCCTGTATTTGTCTGAACTGATTGTCTATATATTCTATAAAAAATTCCCTATACCTATTTATATATACGCTGGGGTCAGCGTCTAAATGGCCAGGAATGGAGAATGAATGTCTCGAGAATGATCCTTCGAAATGGCGTATGACTTCTAACACTCGCGGAACAATGTGATCTAAGTTAAGTACCTCTGGGGAATCTGGAGCGTTGACTTCTTCATCTGATATGTCATGAACAGGGGGTTGATTGTCTTCTTCATCTGAGGATGCCTGCAGGTTGCCGTCTGGTGCATCTTCTTCTAGCTCTTGGGAAAGCTGGGGTTGACTGCGTACAGGCGTGCTCCACTCAGAGGGTTGGGTTGAATCCAGGGGCGATTCTGTAATATAATATTAGCAATGAATAAACATTAAGAGGAAAGGAAATTTGAAAACATTAAGAGAATTTGAAAACCTTAATAGGAAAACAATGTTTGTAACTTTAAGAGGAAAAATATCGTCCAAATAAGAGGAATCATTAAGAGGAAAAACAAAAAGTCTAAATAAGATAAAAAACTGAATTACAGATAAATAAAAATATTACTTACGAGCTGGGATTTGGATTCCACCATGTATGAGATTCTCTTGATCACGAATAGGAACTCCTGTAATGGAAACATTTTTCTGTATGAGTACATATTACTTGTTTATACACTTGTTAAAATATACAATTATTAACTTTTTTAAAAAATTACGAAAATTATTGTGAAAACGTACGGTTATTTATGATGCGACGGCGTTTGGGTGGAGGTTCAATGACGTTTCTGGCTTCGGTGGGGGGTTCCTGTTTAACGGACCAACGACAGTACGGGCAGGAAGTAGAACCATGAACTGAAATAAGAATAATATATATAAATTGACTGTCTGTATGTATGTATGTGTATTTCAGATATATATTTTCTTTGAAAGTTTATTGAATCTGCGAGAAAAGCGGTACTTACGATTTGAACAATAGAGTTGTCCACAGCTGGTACAGGTTACGTCAAAATGTCCAGGCGGCGTAGACCCGTTGCATCCTATACAGTACAGTCTGCATTCTTGAAGAGCGTTGATGGACATCTTAGCTAAGCATGTTAAGCATCTTGTTTGACACACATGCCTGATTTCGTTGTTGAGAGGAGACAGGCACAGGGGACACAGTGACATGATGATATGACTAGGCTGGGGGAACCTTGTGAACAGGATGAAGATTGAATGTTGACTGAAAATGCAGGCCTCTAAGACTTTTGCCTTAGGCGATCTGAGGGGGCCCCTGAATGAGCACAAAAACAATACTGTGCCCCTGAGTGAGCGTTTTGGCTGTTTTATTAATAGCGAGAATGATTGGCGAATACTGGGATTAAACTCTTTATTATAAATTGTGTAAACTAAAATTAGATGACTAAATAAATTATAAATAACTAAATATGTTTATTAACGCCTAATGTATATATATAAATTATTACGGTGGCGAACGCTGACAATGACTGGTAGATGACAGGGCAGGTAATCAGGTGATGATTGCCTCGGGCAGATAGCCTGGGGCAGGTAGCCTGGGGTGGCTTAGATAGTCTCGGAGGCAACTTCAGTATTAAAGGCTACATTGAGATGCCTCGGTTGATTTGTGTAAAACTGACTGGTTAATGAAAAAAGCTGTAAGGAAATAGGAAGAGAGAACAATATGAAGAGGAGAGAGAGGGTTACCTGGTTGATACCTGGTTGATGGGGTTCTGGGAGTTCGTCTACTCCCCAAGCCCGGCCCGAGGCCAGGCTCGACTTGTGAGAGTTTGGTCCACCAGGCTGTTGCTTGGAGCGGCCCGCAGGCCCACATACCCACCACAGCCCGGTTGGTCCGGCACTCCTTGGAGGAATAAATCTAGTTTCCTCTTGAAAATGTCCACGGTTGTTCCGGCAATATTTCTTATGCTTGCTGGGAGGACGTTGAACAACCGCGGACCTCTGATGTTTATACAGTGTTCTCTGATTGTGCCTATGGCACCTCTGCTCTTCATTGGTTCTATTCTACATTTTCTTCCATGTCGTTCACTCCAGTACGTTGTTATTTTACTGTGTAGATTTGGTACTTGGCCCTCCAGTATCTTCCAGGTGTATATTATTTGATATCTCTCTCGTCTTCTTTCTAGTGAGTACATTTGGAGGGCTTTGAGACGATCCCAATAATTTAGGTGCTTTATTGCGTCTATGCGTGCCGTATATGTTCTCTGTATTCCCTCTATTTCAGCAATCTCTCCTGCTTTGAAGGGGGAAGTGAGTACTGAGCAGTACTCAAGACGGGACAACACAAGTGCCTTGAAGAGTACAACCATTGTGATGGGATCCCTGGATTTGAAAGTTCTCGTAATCCATCCTATCATTTTTCTGGCTGTCACAATATTTGCTTGGTTATGCTCCTTAAACGTTAGGTCGTCAGACATTATTATTCCCAAATCCTTTACATGCTGTTTTCCTACTATGGGTACATTTGATTGTGTTTTGTACTCTGTATTATGTTTAAGGTCCTCATTTTTACCGTACCTGAGTACCTGGAATTTATCACTGTTAAACATCATGTTATTTTCTGATGCCCAGTCGAAAACTTTATTAATATCAGCTTGAAGTTTATCAGCTTGAAGAAGGGTGGAGGGACGGTCCAGATATTATAGAGAAGATAAGATAAAATTACTGAGGTGACCTGAAGGCAGCGTCTGACTGGGGCCGTAAGGTAAACACAGGTGCGGCGAGAGATTGCGAGGTAAGGGAGAGGGATGGAGGGGGTGTGAGGTATGAGCGGGAGATGCAGGGGGTAGGGAAATGATTCAGTTATATAGCAATATACTAGTTTCTAAGTAAGAATCCTACTTAAATGTATAAGGCCTAAATATTGGTTTATTATCGGTAAGAACTCTGAAAAAAAACTCCCGTAAGAACATTAACAAAACTCGTATGACATTATTTTCATCATAAGAACTTTTAACAAACCTCTAAAATCTCAGAAATTACTCCCTCATAAGAATTCCTTAATTCCAAATCTGTGACTCCCCGAATTCGCCTAAAAACCCTGGCAGTCCAGGAGCCCTTTTTTTCCCAGATCTGTTAACAAACTTCTATGACATTATTTTCATCATAAGAACGCTTAACAAACCTCTAAAATCTCAGAAATTACTCCCTCATAAGAATTCCTTAATTCCAAATCTGTGACTAGCCAAATTCACCTGAAAACCCTGGCAGTCCTGGGGCCCTTTTTTCCCAGAAAAAAAAGGGCCGCTGGACTGCATACTACTACTGTGGTGACGCCACGGCTGGTGGTGATCCCATGTCTGGTAGTGACGCCATGGAAGGTGATGCCATCATGGATGTTGGCGACACAATGGCCGGTGGCGACGCCACGGATGGTGGCGACACAATGGCTGGTGGTGACGCCATGGCTGGTGGTTACGCCACGGATGGTGGTGACACAATGGCTGGTGGCGACGCCGCGGATGGTGGTGACACAATGGCTGGTGGCGACGCCACGGATGGTGGTGACACAATGGCTGGTGGTGACGCCATGGCTGGTGGTTACGCCACGGATGGTGGTGACACAATGGCTGGTGGTGACGCCATGGCTGGTGGTTACGCCACGGATGGTGGTGACACAATGGCTGGTGGTGACGCCATGGCTGGTGGTTACGCCACGGATGGTGGTGACACAATGGCTGTTGGCGACACAATGGCTGGTGGTGATGCCACGGACGGTCGTGACGACAAGGGAGCCGAGCGGACATCACGCTGGACTTGTGATCCTGGGTTCGATCCCTGGCACCGGCGAGAAACAATGGGCAGAGTTTCTTTCACCCTATGCCTCTGTTACCTAGCAGTAAAATAGGTACCTGGGTGTTAGTCAGCTGTCACGGGCTGCTTCCTGGGGGTGGAGGCCTGGTCGAGGACCGGGCCGTGGGGACACTAAAAAGCCCCGAAATCATCTCAAGATAACCTCAAGATAACAATGGCTGATGGTGATGATGCCTTGGCTGGTGATGCGGCCAGTACTGGTTATGACACCATGGCTCAGCTTCCTAATTCTGATCAGCTTCCATATATACTTAATACACATACATATACACACTCATGCATTCACATACATTTTTCTCTTTTACTCTGACAGGGTGAGATAGCTGATAGAGAAACTAGTGCAATTAAGCACTTAATCACTGAAGGTGATTAAAGTGCTTTTACAAGCTCAGGTTATATAGTCACATTACATACATACTTTGTATAATTGATACATTACATAGTTAACCTTGGGTACAAGACCAATATATCATCAATTGTTCCAGTACTCATATAGTAATTACACAGTTCAGCATACCTTAGCCCAGGAGGGCGATAGTCAGTCAATATGGGACATTCTACAATATAATGTTCAAAAGAGTGCATGTTTTCTCTTTCACAAAGTTGACACATTGTGTACTCGACATTTGGGTTTTGAGAAAGCTGCCAGATACGTCTGTATCCCAGTCGTATTCTGGCCACTATAATTTCATATTGCCGGGTTCTTGTTCTATTAGTCCCATATGTGAATGTCTCCTCACGATATCTACCATATTATTTAATGCTACAACTTTCTGGCTTTTGTGAATTTGTTAGGTCGATGAGATCTTCATTAGACATTTGTTTAAGTATTCTCTTTGTCACTGCTAATGAAACACCCATATCAATTTCTACCACTGGTTTTCTACAGGCTGTCTTTGCAAGCATATCAACAGTGTTATGCCTTGAGATGCCACTGTGACGGTGTCCCACCCCTATATTTCTTCCTTCCCAGCTTAGAAGAGTCATATCTCCGTAGCCTAAGTATTCTCTGATGTTCAGGGAACATTTTCATGTGTGGGAAAGCGTGGAGCGTAACTAAACTGGCTACAAAGTGGCCAGCTAAGTTTGATAATGCAGGGGGCTTGTGCCTTTTGGGGCACAAGACGGCGCTTAGCCATCCTGTTTCCCGCCTAGACGCCGTGACACTTCCCGGCACCTGATTGGCCAGGTGAGGTCACGTGCCGGAAGTGACTAATGACGAGAGCTCTCGGGCGGTGTGACGTCACGAGGCGGAGGGCTCTCGGGAGGGGGCCGCTGGCGCCTGGGCGGGAAGAGTACGTCACGAGCCGTCATAGAGGGAAGATGCGCTCGAGCGAGCTCCGGATCTAGAGAGCCCTTACCAGTAGATTTAAGCTCCGCTTCGATTCTGCAGACAGTCTGAGAAGCCATCCAACTTCCGTGGAGTGCCCAGAGGCAAGGACGGACCGGATTAGAGAGCCAAGAGCTCTATCAAGAGTCTGCAGCAGAGGGAACGTTGGGCTGGTGACGTCTGGGACGCCCACAGGACCACGTATTCTACATCAAGCGAGTAGCTACGGCCGGGCCAAATCTACTGGCAGTGAGGCGAGGGGAAGCTGTGCTGGACTGCGAGGTGGCGGCAGTACCAGTGAGAGTGGAGGACGACGACGGAGGTACCTGTCTCCAGTACCCCAGAGAAGAGGAGGAGGAAGGCAGTACCTGTTGGGAATTAGCACGGTGAGGACGCGTTACCACGAAGGCGACGGAGGAACCTGTGTGTGTGGTGGGAACTAGTCGTCGGCAGAGCAGACGCCAGGACCAGGAACCTCAACATTCCTCAACAGAGGACGAGTCAGCTTCGCGGTTGGAGTGAAATAAGGTAGATAATTGTCCCTCCCTCCCTTTACCCCTTTTGATCTAGGCGAGCTAGAGTATTTTATATGTAGTGAATATTTCTACTCATAATTGTATTGTCTAAGTGACAGGATATTAGGCTAGGAGCCAAAAACTCATTTAGGCATGAGTTGGTGTGTGTTAGCATTAAGGCGGGGATGTAAGTGATCCTGGAGGTGGTAGCTGGTGTGCAAAGAGCCGGCAACGAACTCTGAAGCGCCCAGCTGATTGCATCGCTAGAGGCATTTACATAATCAACTGATAGATCCCAGTTATCCCATGGAGTAATTGGTTGATTAACCATTAATTGAGTTGGGCACATATTTAATATTTTGATGGAGTTGGCTGCCTTGTAGAACCAAAATACATAATCAGATTTCGTTCTTCTTCAATAGGCCTCAGGTGACTGCAGCATATTAGAAAGTTTAGCTTGAAACTTCATGTGTTGTCTAGATCTACTCAATGCCTTCACGCCGAAAACTGTGCTAATAGACAAAATTCTGTAACATATGGTAGGTAATTTTAACTCTGCTCTCATATTAAGTATTCTCGTGGACTTTGGTGCCCCAAGGAGGAGACGCATAGCTTAATTTTGCAAGGTTTCAAGAGATTTCAGCTCTTTGTCAGTATACAGTGTGAGATGTAGAGCATTATAGTCAATCACAGAGCGTATAAATGATACATAAAACATTCTAGCAAGTCTCACATTAATTCCATGATTGACACCAACAAGACCCGCAAGGGCTCTAATCTCTCCCACAGTCTCCTCTTGAGAGAAGAAAGGTACCCAGGGTCGTTAATGGGGACACCAAGGTATCTGTAAGACTCGCAGTTCTCAAGTGCTCGCCCATCTATATGATAATTGGGTGGTGGAATACCACATGGAATGAGGGCACGAGTTTTCTCCACAGAGATAAGGAGGCCACATTCCTCAGCTCTAGTAGCAAAAGCATCGAGCAGAACTTGCATTCTAGGCTCGGAGGCAGCCTGTATAATTATATCATCAGCATAACAAATGACAGTGATTTCATTATTAGTTGGAAGATCTTTAATATGTTTATGCATCAGAACGTTGAACAACAAGGGGGCTGAGGACCCCCTCCTTGTGGAGTTCCCAGATCAAATGTTTGCTCTCTGTGCTTTTAACACCATTAAACAAAACATATGCTGTTCGATTAGACAAATAGGCTTTTATCCATTTCAGTAATTTTCCTTGTATTCCCAGCTCGGCCAGCTGTTCCAGTATGATTTCTCTGTTTGCTGTATCAAAAGCTGCAGCTAGGTCGATGACTGTTTGAGGGAAAGCTTCAATATGTGCGAAGTACTCAGCAAAACAGTGTTGTGTACTGAGCCCAGGCATAAATCCAAACAGTTGGGGGTGACAGGTGCCCCTGTATACGATTCATGAGTCGGTTAAGAACAATACGTTCAAGCACTTTACAAACACACGATGTTAGAGATATGGGTCTATAATTATCCGAGTGTGGTTTGGGGATGGGAACAATGACACTCTTTGTCCAAGCATCAGGTAATACTCCTTCACTTAAACTCATTCTGTACAACACTAAAAGTGGATTACCTAGTACTTGTGAGACTAATCTCAGTAGACTGTAAGTAATACCGTCCTCTCCAGGAGCAGTTGATTTGCCCATCTTTATTGCATGATTTAATTCCCATTCAGTTGCATCATTAAGGTCCTCCGACACGTACAGCTGTACAGGCAAGATTGATGGTTCGTTGTCTGTTGGGGCGTGTGTCATTAAGTTTGTGCTGTATGTTAATTGGGAATGAGTTGTAGCTTGATGTTAGTGCCTATTGATCAAGGAGAATGTTTGCTTGTTCTAGTGGGCTGTGGTGCAGTGGTTTGATTGGGGTTGCTTCTAGAGATTTTTCGTATCTTTTCCCAAACTTCAACAAGTGTTGTTTGCTCATTTATACTTAGTAGGAACTCTTCCCGATGTTTATTACGTATAACGTTGCTCATGTCTCTCACCTCTCTCTATTTGCAACTAGAAATGCATGCAAGTCTCCTTGTGCTTTGGTGCTTTCGTATGTATCTCCAAGCTGCCTTACTCGTTCATGTTCTTTAACAAATACGGGGTCAAGGACCCACTTCTGTTATACCTGGTTGATACCTGGTTGATGGGGTTCTGGGAGTTCTTCTACTCCCCAAGCCCGGCCCGAGGCCAGGCTTGACTTGTGAGAGTTTGGTCCACTAGGCTGTTGCTTGGAGCTGCCCGCAGGCCCACATACCCACCACAGCCCGGTTGGTCCGGCACTCCTTGGAGGAATAAATCTAGTTTCCTCTTGAAGATGTCCACGGTTGTTCCGGCAATATTTCTTATGCTTGCTGGGAGGACGTTGAACAACCGCGGACCTCTGATGTTTATACAGTGTTCTCTGATTGTGCCTATGGCACCTCTGCTCTTCACTGGTTATATTCTGCATTTCTTCCATATCGTTCACTCCAGTACGTTGTTATTTTACTGTGTAGATTTGGTACTTGGCCCTCCAGTATCTTCCAGGTGTATATTATTTGATATCTCTCTCGTCTTCTTTCTAGTGAGTACATTTGGAGGGCTTCGAGACGATCCCAATAATTTAGGTGCTTTATTGCGTCTATGCGTGCCGTATATGTTCTCTGTATTCCCTCTATTTCAGCAATCTCTCCTGCTCTGAAGGGGGAAGTGAGTACTGAGAAGTACTCAAGACGGGACAACACAAGTGCCTTGAAGAGTACAACCATTGTGATGGGATCCCTGGATTTGAAAGTTCTCGTAATCCATCCTATATGGGGGGGGGGGAATTGTGTAAAAGCCTGGGTTGTGCCTCGGAGAGGCTACGGGATCCAGTAAGTTCAGTAGAACTTCGGTTTCCTATCCCTTTGAGATGTATTTATTGCTTATCTCAATAAACATACGTGACCGGGCGGCGGGGACGCTAAGCCCCGGAAGTACCTCAAGGTAAGGTTTCATGTCGTGTATGTATTTCCTACCTTCCTATCCACTATTTCACA